TTAAATTTTTTATAATAATATTTATAATATTTAAAGTCGCATATAAATTATTTTTATACGTTATATTTATTTTTTATAGATAATTTATTTTGAAAATAATCAAAATTTTCATTTAATATTTTTTATTTTTCTGTTATATTAAAAATAATTAATTTAATATTTAAATTATAATTATTTTAAAACTAAATTATATATATATTTAATTAATAAATATACGATATAATAATAAAAAATTAAATTATGATATTTAATATATAACAATGGTTTCAGAAACATAATAAAAGTATTTTTAAATTTTATAAAATTAAATTTATAATTTATAAATTCAAATTATATTTGAGTTTAAACCTTTTACTATTAAAGTTAATTTATAAATATTTAAAAGTATATTATATATCTTTATATAACATATAAAATATTTTATTAATAATAATATTAATATATACTAATTAATTTTAAAATTTAAAATAATATAAATATTATCATAAATAGTTTATATAATTATTTTTTATTTTATAATTATTAATTATAATATTATATTATAACATAATAATTTATCCGTGTCACACTCTCACCTGCCTATACACTTAAAGAGAGAGATCAGAGCTATTCCACTAACAAGCTCATATATATTACTGTTTAAACGAAAGCCTGTGCATCAGGACCAGCAAAAAAAACGAAGTAAGAAGAAGAACAGCAACGATGGATGTTAATTTTTCCAAAACTACTAAAGAAATGACTTAAAATTTCAAACAAAGAGGAAGTGGATAGTTCCTCCTTTCCTCCTCGGATCCATCCATTAACAAAGAATTTGTTGAAAGGTGTTGATTAACGACGAGGATGATTGATAGGATCGGATCGGAGTGAAAATAATAGGAAGGAAAAGATACGAGCTAACAAAAGGAGGTTGAAAAGTAGCATCGACCTTTAAACTAACTAACCCTACCAACACGCCTCTTTACTTTCTCGGTCACTTGATTCCGACCCACCTTTGTTAAAGTTTTCTTACTCACTATCAAAATGAAGAAACAAAAAGGACACTGCAAGCTCAGTTTTCTTTTCTTTTTTATTTTTGGTGAATGTGCACGCGCGTGTGGTTAGCACTGTTTATTTGATATTCTCAAAAAAGGACAGAAGATACAAAAATTTACAATAATAAGTAACCAACGACAAGCATAACTTGTTTTTGAAATCACCGCATTGATTCATGTACCTATACGAAGCGGCAGTAAAAAGAGTTATCAATTTTCTCATGAAATGGTGGTTGAGGTTTATGACTCTTTCTAGTATGCGAAATTCAGATCGCTTTGAAAGCGTACCAATCGGTTGTTGAGGTAGATACTCCCTTACAAATGTGTACACTTGGCAGCTACTCAGTTATACTTCCATGTGTAAGAAACCTTCTGAAATCAAAGTTGGAACAAATTGGTGATGACGGTGCTTAATTGGGTGAGAAATCTTATTACTGAAACAATAGGTTAACCTCTGTCAACAGTAGTCAACTCATTTTATTTATTTATTTATTTGGGGATATGCATGTAAGTACAAATTGCGTTAGTGCGTCTATATTAAGACAATAAATACAATCCATGCATGACAAGAATTACTGCTAATCATGTTTTTCAAAGCTGACATGAAATTTGGATTGTTTTCTAAGCAAAGTCTTCCAATGGCAATAACTTTTCCTCATTAATTAACACCATTCTCATTGATGTTACCTGCTTTCATTCAATCAAAAGCAAACAACACATGTGAATCCAAATAATCATGTTTATTGCCAGCAGAGGGCCCAAGCCCCCACCATAATTTTGGGTTATGGGGCTGTGATTATGGCTGTTACTCATTACCGATGTTAAGCTATAATCATCAGTTGTCAGTTTATCAATATTTTTCACACAACTGATGATTCTATAAATATGAATTTACTTTTATCTTTGTTAACATATTATCATATATATAATATCGCTTATGTGTTACTCTGTAGCAGAAAGCTCAGTAGGCCCCAACACGAGTATGTGGCCAGCTCCAGATCCACCATACCAACCAGTCCTCTCTAGCTTTGCCTTTTTTTTCCCTACAGCCCTCAACCGTGGCGTACAAATCACACATGCCTTGAGGTCCAGCACAAAATGAAGCCTCATGACCCACAGTTACCACTTTGTTAATTTATTCGAAGCTTCCAAGCCGAGTATAAACCTTGTTATATTAACATACATGCATACGTGGTGGATTACCACTCTTAATTAAATAGATTTTTCTACTATAACAAAGTATTTTCAAAATTTTACCAAGTTTCTATTGGGCACAAATATTCTTCACAATCATTCAAGAAAAACCCAAAGGTATTTTCATTTTTATTTTTTTTTGCTAGTAACGTTATTTTATATACAGCAGAAAATGAATAGTGAATTTTTATTAAAAATTATACTATTCAATATTATTAATATTTTAAATTTTCAATAAAAATGTGTTATTGAATATATATTAATCGTTTCTAAATTATTTAAGATATGTTCTTTCATTATATATATAATTCGTGAAACTTATTAGTAGTCGTGCATTTTCTAGTATCTTTCAAATAATAATTAATAAACTTAAAGTATTTTATTTTCCTAACAAAAATTTTACAACGTTTGAATAGAAATTTGTAAGTTATTATCCGACACATCAGAACAGTAAATTGTTTCCACTTGCACTTAAACGTTGCTTAAGATTCAAAATTATGTTCAAACACGATCCAATCACAAAGTTTTCTTTTTATAACAAAAATCGTGTTTTTTTTTTTTTTTATCATTCCATCTTTTGTAGAGTACAGTCATGTTTGAATAAAGATATTTATAATAATGTGAGATTAGTTCTCTCGATATATTTTTTATAGACAAAATTAAAATTTAATTTGTAAAGAATTAAATATATTTTATTTAAACTAATTATTCACTAATTAAAGAGTCTATTTATAATAATTCTTTTCACGAGTTTTGGGTAATAATTAATAACATTACGCAAAGCCAAAAACTTAAAATAAGATCTTATAAATTTTAATAAGGACTCGTGTTTAATATCCTTGTATATAAGTCACTCTTCGGTTGTCACTAGAAAAATATTATTTTTATAATATTTATTATTTTTTTATTTTCTTTTATAACATTAGTCGTCTTATAGCACAATAGCTTCTCTTCTTTTATTTAATTTTATATATACACAAAATTAATTTAGAAATATAATTTCTCCTAATACACGCGCAAAAGATCTATTTTAACTTTTGGTTCTATGGATAATGATTCCGTGGGCTTCTTTTTATTATATTTTTGGTGCAATGGAGGAGTTAAACTCCAAAACTAAGATGATTCCGTGGACTTTGTATACACCTAGCACGATACCACGTTCAAAAGAAATTGGTACATGCACTTCAAACTGATAAGCTTGCTAAAATGCCAAACACTAATCATATCCTTTCTAAAGCAGATTCTGTGTTAACAAACCCAGATTGGAACAGGTTGTGATTTGTGAATACTTGTATGGCCTTTGTTCCCGAGAGCCCACACGATGGAATATTTCAAATTTTACTTTTTAATATAATAATATATTTAATATTTAATTTATAATCTTATATGAATTATAAAATCTCTCGCCACTAACTCTTTCTTAATATTGTTTACTATTTTATTTTAATGAAACTGTTTTATGTGCATTATATAACGATTTATTAAAATAATTACATAATAAAATCTATGCATTAACAATAATTTTTTTTATTCATAAAAAAATAACAAAAGATTAGTCGTTAATGTTGTCTCTATTGACATATTTTTCAAAACAAAAAAATATTAATACAAATATTACAAGTTTGAAAATAATATGATATACTAATATTATACATGATTTCTTATACCATATAAATATATAATTACTAATGAATAATTCCTTCAGTATATGGCAATTAATAAGGAAACGCTTACAACATGTTCAATAAATCACGATCAACTAGTCAATTAGTAGATGATCATTAATATTTTTGGTAGACTGCATACACTAACTAGTTGTCCGAGTAAGAAGGCTTTTAATTTGATATCTATATTTTCAGACAAATATTATATTTTAATATATTTTTCTTAGACATATATAAACCTGAATTGAATAGTGATTTTTTATATGAAAATAATGCCACATTATATCAATGAAGTTTTTTAAAAACATCCACATAGGTAGGTAGATTGAGTTGAGTGAATAATATCTAAATTATGAGCAGACCGAATTCACCGATTCTAATAACTTTTAAGAATAACATTTCGTGCAAGTACGTAAGCACCAAGCACTTTACCTCGTATCTTTAGGGGAGTAAAATTATAACATAATTATGAAAAATAATATAAAATTATATATATAACCAAATGATAAAGATTTTTGGAAGTAAAATATGCGCGAGTAATATATTGTTCCTTAATTTAAAATCCAACTTAAATCACCAAACCAAACCACGTACATAGTTGGATTGGGTTGGTTCTGCAGCATCTAAGCATTACCTTGGTCGAGCTAAACAAACAGTAAGCACTTAGCAGTATGATTTGGGTGGTTAGAGGCAAGCTATCATAATTCGTGGTGGGTACTCTTGTTTAAAAAAAAAAAAAGAGTTGAAATTCTAAAAACACCTTTTCTCCGCTGTTATGTAATTAACAGCTATCAGGGGCCGTTATCCGTTGATGAAAAATGAAAAGAAATGTGAACTATCAGATGACTATTGCATCCTAAAAATAGTTTGACAATGCTTTCATACTAAAACACTGTCCAATCTGTAAATGTAAATAAATGTATTTAAACAAGGTAGCAGTGAAAATATGTTAAAAGTTAAATTGACGATGGTGTAAGCAAAGTAGTGGAACATAATGTGCATTGAATTAAAGAGGTAGAGGTGGCAGAAAGATAAGGGTGTATTGTTATGTTGAGAGATGGGTCCCAATCGGTGATGAGAGACAGAACGCTTGAGTTGTGTTTGGTAGCGACGCGAATAAAAGGTGTTTGCGTTTGGATCCAAATTGTCAGTCTGGGTCTGGCTATATAACCTGTCCCCTCCCACACTCATCTTAACCTCAATACCCTCTTCTTTCGCTTCCTCTTGTGCTAAGCCCTGCCACCTGCGCAGGTTAAGCATAGAGATAGACAAAATAATTAATTGAGCAAACAAAATATGGACACACATTTGGTTCTTTTAGTGGGTTTGATCTGCACCGTGGTCGCCGGCGTCGGAGGCCAAGCTCCATCAAACTCCCCAACCACTTCTCCGGCTCCACCCAATAACACTCCTGCTCCACCCACTCCTCAAGGTTCTCCACCACCCGTTCAGCAGTCTTCTCCGCCACCCGCTCAGCAGTCTTCCCCCCCACCCGCTCAGTCCTCGCCTCCTCCCGTTCAGTCCTCGCCTCCGCCAGCATCCTCTCCACCGCCAGCAGCCACGCCCCCACCAGTGAACTCCCCACCACCTGCGTCTCCTCCCCCAGCCTCTCCGCCACCTGCGTCTCCTCCACCGGCTACTCCACCTCCTGCTTCTCCTCCTCCATTTTCCCCTCCCCCTGCAACTCCCCCTCCCGCTACTCCTCCTCCCGCAGTTCCTCCGCCCGCACTCACCCCGACGCCTCTCTCGTCTCCACCCGCTACTTCTCCCGCTCCGGCTCCTGCTAAGGTCAAGAGTAAAGCCCCTGCACTCGCACCGACCGTCTCCCCTTCCGAAGCTCCCGGTCCCAGCCTCGCCACCATCTCTCCCTCTGGCAATGACGATGTAAGTCTCTCTCTCTCTCTCTCTTTCTGTGTTGTTATGTGCCACTGTTACCACGTAGCATATATACCATACTCTCACCATTTCTCATGGAAATCAATTATTTTTCCTTTCTCCTCTGCTCTCACTCTATATCATAGCTTCCTCTGTTTTCGTAACCTATTTTGAGTGAACCGAGGAAAATAGAAGCAGATATAAGGGGTGTCGTGCCATGTCCATCTTCACTCCAGTTTATTTTCTATCAAATATGTGCATTTGCAAGCACAAAATATATATTCGTATATAAAAAAAATCATAAAGCATTAATTTAAGTTAAGATATTTAAAAAAGAGCAACTCTAAATGGGACCTCTGGTTAATAACAACATGCCGAGTTTCATTTTTAATATCCAAACTCTACTTAAATTAACTTCAAACCTAGAAAGAACACTTTCGTCTTTAGTGCTTCAAAATTTAGCAGGCTCATTTTATTGAAATTTACATATCAAACGTTTTATTTTTATTTATTTGAAAAATAAAGAAAATTATGTTAATTTTTTTTCTTATCCTTTTATTTCAAAATGAAATGGTAGTTGTAATTGTTAATTACTAAGGATAGGATTGTACTGGGTGGTGGTGGTGGTGGTGGACCAGCGGGCGAGTGCTGTAGCTGAGATGCACAGAAATCCCAACAATCAAATTAATGTCATTTTGGTAATAAATATAACTATAAAAGTTGGAAAAATGTGAAGACCATTACATGTTCAAACTGAATCTTATCCCTATTATAGGTAAATGTGGATCTGAATGTGTTGTTAGAATTTTAAGCGTGCGTGTCATTGTTTTGCGTAGGGATGTTTAACGTGGGGCGTTAGTATAAACATGATTTTTGTTTCTTTGTTTTTCTCCTAATAATGGATAATGCCTGAAGCAAAACACATTTATACCCAAATACCAGTTATTTCACATTATATCTTTAAAGTCGCCTGAGCATGAAATTGAATTGGAAATTGGAAGAATTAAAGTTGTTTACTCTTAAATATTCCATCAAATGTCCTCATTACTATGGCGAATATACGTTTTCACTTGTACAAGAAGGAAAACATTTTTCTGCACAGCATTGCTATCTGCTATTTGGTAAATGTGTTACTTTCCCAAACTTTATGTTAAAGCTTTCTCCTACTTCATCATTCCATTTATTGCGTAGCTTTGTTTGTTCTGGATCTTACCACTCCCTTAGATTGCGTCTGTTGCAAATATTTAAAAAGTTAGCTGCTCAATTAATGGACTTTGTGGCGTTGCAGAGTGGGGCTGAAAAGTTGTGGTCCTTCCAGAAGATGATTGGGAGCTTAGTATTCGGATGTGCTCTTCTGTCCTTGCTGTTCTAGAGATCTGTCTTCGGATCCATGTTATTTTGCTATTTACCTTTATATATTATTTTGTGGATGTGATATGGGAGTTTATTACTGTATTTGATTTATATACATTGCTTGCATTCTTGGGAGATTTGAGGGGAGGTTTTGTATTTGAGGGCAGTTATTTTGTATCGCGCTATTATTAGTTTATCGTTCCATTTGAGTATTTTCTTCCTCTTTATTTTTAACCTTTTCATTAATTAGAATATTAGTATTTACTTAATATCGCGCTGTTTACTTCTTCCCAAGCCAAATAGATCATGTGCGCAGCATAAATAATACGCCCTATTATACATCGTAGATAATACTATTTTATTTTAATTTTAGTTTTCAAAGTTAAATTTAAATAACTAAAAAGTTAAAAAAATTATAAAAAATGAAATAAATGTAATTTTTAATAAAAAATATTATTCTGAATATTTAAACTCAATCTTGAAGAATAAGTATGATAAAAACGTTTAAAATATAGTTGGGGATTTTTTTATTTGGTAACAAGTCAAAAAGAAAAAAAGCAGAAAAAGAAATTACAGCAGCAAATGATAGAGGCAGTATCAAGTGATCACAAAAACTCGAAGGAGTAAAAGTAAGTAACAGGTTGTACAAAGCGACACTCAATTTGGCCAAATAATGGACGCAAAATTGCTCTCCCCACAGCACATGAACGAGGACCACAAACCAGTCTCAATATTACAAATGGCTAACACTGTGGACGATGGAGCCATGCCTGTGAAAATTCAATCATACTTTAGAAGAGACACTGCTTCAAGCAATCATTCCAGTGGACAACATTTCTGCAACTCTTCCAACGATTTAATAGTTCAAAATAAAAAGCAATTAACTCAACCTTAATATTGTCTGCAACTCTTATATACATATCAAAAACCATTTGTCTCTATAAATTAAATCCCCAAAACCAGCAAACCCGAAATTACCTGAGTATTCGCGCAAACATTAATTCAAATCACCTAGTAAGGAATGTAACTAAAGGCAAAGTAAATTTGTATCATTACACAATCTACATAAATTGTCGCTAAATTCTCGACATCTCGTTAATGTTGTAGTTTAAATGACATGTCAATAAAATTGTCAATTTAAATTGACCTAATATTTTTTAATACTTAGTAAAATCAGTATTTATAAAATAAATATTAAAAATTAACAAAATTTAATGATTATAAACATTATTCGAAAAGTTTACTAAAGAGGCTGTGGAATTATTTTGGTTGACTTATATGACCAACTTTTATATATAAAAAGACAAAAAGGCAATTTGTTGTCAAGACAAGTAGATAATTGATTGTTTATCATATTCACAATTCAACTATTGATTCTTTGGCAAAATTTAATATCTACGTAAAGTTTACATGTAAGAAAGTTTTCGAAGACCTTATTTTAATGACATTAAATAATATATTATTTAATAAAAACTACTTTTAATTTCTTTAATCATTATTATTTTTCAAATATTAAAATAGATGAATTTAAATGATTAAGGCAATGATGTAAGATTTTATTGTTTTTCGCATATATGAAGTTTATTTATTTAGTATAAGGTTCTGTGTTCGAATCTTATAATCTGGAGATTTTCTTAAGCCAGCGATAGTCACAAGTTGAAAACGAAAATTAGTCTAATAAATCTTAAACTTGTGTATAAGAGTTTATTCAAGTTAAAATAATATTACCTTACAAGCTAATTTTTGATATTGTCATCAGTGCATAATTGACTTATTATATTAGTTAATAAAAAGTGTAAAAAAATAATTAATATAAAAAATAATTTTCACGTTGATGTATTTTATACATCGGTTTAAATTTTAATTGGTGTAAAATTTATAACTTTTTAAATGAGCAAATTTTGTAATAATAAAAAAATACATCAATTAAATCTTAATTAATATGAAGTTAGCGGATAAACTGTCATTTTATCTAAAAAAAATTAGTTTATTTTTTATTAGAATTATTATTTTAATTTTTAAATTGATTATATATCTCTTAATTTTATTGTAAGACGTGATAAGAAAAAGTTGTTGCAATAATCAAAGAAGGAGCAAATTTTGAATTTGAATTACAAATTTCATATCTAGAATTTGGATATTAAATTTGCATTTGATAATAGAAAATCATATCTTTTTTTACAAATAAATCATGTAACATCGTAAAATTTTTGTTACATTATAAATAATTATTGAATTATGTTAATATTATTTAATTAAAAGTAAATACTACACAGAGACTTGAGAATTAGAATTTCTTTTAACAAAATTTTTCAAAATGGGTCTTATCAATAAAGAATTAAGTAATATAAAAAGAAAATAAAAATTCAAAAAATTTATTTAATAATTTTAAACTATTTAGAATAGTTGGATATGAATTAAAAGAGGTTTAGAAAGATCCAAAAATAGAAAATAAGTAAAATTATAAAATTTGACTAAAATAACCAAAATACTCATAAAAACACTTAGAATAGAGGTCCATTTTGGACAAACAAATGAATTTTATGATGGATAGCCCATATGTAAAGGTTTTGGACGTATAAGTATGGAGCCTAAAGAGCAAGTATAGAAATTACCTAAAATTATCCAATAAGAGGTCCAAAAATCAAATGTAAATAAAGGAAAGTGAGCTAGAAGGAGTCATGTGACCCATTAGAACCCATGTGATACTAATCATGATTAAAGGATAAGGTTAATTATGACTTAATCTCAAGTAGATGAGTATATTTTACAAGAACCAATGATGTCACGATCCTTTTTTTTTAAGGATTAATGATATTTTGCTCAATCACAATATGTATAAATTTTTTCATAAAATAAAATAAAACTTAATTGAAGAAATTTTTTTAGAAATAAAATCCATCATTTCAATGGAAGAACAAAATTCTTAGGGCATTTTCATACAACACAAAAATCATATATATACAAAGGTTGCTCAACATGAGACTCAAAATACATATTTACAATCCAATAATTACATTTCTTGAAAATTGTAGCTAAATAGTCTAGACCCATGTAACATTCCTATTTTATTATTTATTAATTTTGTATTTAGTGTGAGTTATTAATGCATATTGCTTAAAATTATAAGAGTTTTAAATGTGTGAGTTGCAGATTTTTCGCTATAGCGAAAAATCAACGTCCAGAATTAGGCATTTTGATACTCTCTTGTTGTAGCGAGGATCTCTCGCTGTAGCTAGAATGACAGACTGCAAAGTGCAATTTTATTTGATTCTTTCGTTGTAGAGAAAATATCGCGAGTTGAGGGGTATTTAAGGGTTTCCAAGTTGAGAGAAACTTGGATTATAATCCAAGTCACGACCCTTCTACATTTTCTCTGACTTCTCTCCTCATTTTCTCAGCAAAACCTTGAAAAGCTTCAACTTTTCTTTGATCCAAGCTTAAGAGTTCATTCTTCTTACTCTTTGGTAAGTTTTTAAGTTTGGTTCTCTATTTCTTTGGTTATTTTCTTGTTTTTTCTCCTCTAAATAGGAACTCTGGTGATGTTTAGGAAGAACCCAATGATGAATCCACAATTTATTAGATTTTTACTTATCTTTTTATTGTTCTTTAATAGAAAAAAATAGATTTAGGAAGTGTAAATAACATAAAAACATCATTTTGGTCAAATTTCATAGGTTTCTTAATTTTTGGTTAATTTACATTGATTTACATAGATATAATTTGCAATTTTGATCATTTGAATAATTGTGCACGAATTTCTAGACTCATTACATGGATTTTTAGCCTTTGAGAAATTTTGAGTTGAAAGTGACCACTTTCAGAAGTGATAGTGGACACTACAGCAAGCTAAATCCAAAGGGCAGGCCAGAGTAACCACTTTCAGAAGCAATAGTGATCACTCCAGAGCCAAAGGAAGCACCCAGACCTGCGCGTGTTTACTCTCGGAAACGATAGTAAACACTCCAGAGAGCCCTAGAGTTTAGGACCCTGCGCGTGTTTACTCTTGTGAACGATAGTAATCACTATGTTCGCGCATGTTTACTCTTGTAAACAATAGTAATCACTATGCTTGAGAGTGTTCACTGTCGTGAACGAGAGTAACTACTCTAAAGGCGTCAACTTTTCTATATATGGACTTTTACCATTTTCTAGGGTTTTTAGGATACTCTTGTAGAGCCTAGGTTGGCCTTGGGTGACAGCCAAGGGTCCAACCTAGGGTTTGAATTCCATTTCTTCTTCACTTTTCTTTTATTTTCATTTGATGTTATTGATTTCTCTTGAATTCCTAGGTTTTGAATGTTAATATAATTCCTTTTCTTTCATAAATTTCTTCTTCCTAATCTCTTGAATTGAATTAATGGTTGAATGAGGGGAGCATTGTGTAATGAATCCTAATTCATTTTAAGGAAATTCTAAATTTAAATTGCTTAATTCTTGTTTAATTCCAAGATTGCGTAATCAAGGAATGAAAGATTGAAGTTCATTGGATTACTTAATTCATATGAAAACATAAGGTTGATTTCCACTTGTTAAATCAACCTAATTCTGGGAGGAGAGGAAGAGTATTAAATCTTGAGAGGAATAGGGATAGAGTTTATATGAATGAACTAGGGGTTACTACATTTTATCGATTGAACTTTGCAATTTAATTTTCTGCTTAAGTTGATTGAACTTGAAATTACAAAACTCCCTTTTTACTTGCTTTCTAAATACATTGCACACTACATGTTTGATATTTGGTCACTCGACCAATGATTCATGGGAGACGACCTAGGCTTGCATCTTAGACTACATAAATCTTTCTACATATTTTGATGAAGGTTGACAACAAATCTTTTTGCAAATGAGAAAATATTTCATTCATCACCCGACGTTTTAGGCAAAATCCTTCGAAAACCCTTTACTAAACTAGCATTTTAAGGTAACGATAGCTCTATTTTGTTACTAAGAAAGTGGTATGCATGTATTCATGAAAATGTTGTGATGAAATGCATGATTTTGAGTATATGTTAGATGAGAACATGTTTTTGTTATGTTTGAAGTATGTTTTGTGGTGTTTGATGAAGTGTATGATCCTTGATTTGAGTGTATATGCAGGTATGTGGTGGACTAAGTCCGAGGAGACCAACTCTCAGCAATGATTAATTGTTATATGATGTAATAATGAATTAAAGTAAAATAGAAAAATAAAAAC